GTGAAGAACAGAAAAGTCGGCGTAGAACTCCTGGGCACACATTTTTAGGACAACAGGTGGAATACCGTCCGGACCGGGTGTTTTACAAACACACAAACCCCGAACAGTTTGGTGAACCTTTCTGCTTGTTATGATAGGTCGAAAGAAGTGATTGGATGTGTAGGAGGAGGGTTGAATAATAGAGGCGGCAGATAAGGTGGAGTTGAAGGCAAACCGGGAAGCTAAGATCTCTGCTTTTCCGTGGGGATCGCAAACAAGAGTACCAGAGGAATTGCAAATGGGAGAAAATTTAGAAGGGCAGAAATTACGTGAAACCGCTTTAGCGACGGAACAGAATGTTCGCTACCGGTGGTGAAAGAAGCCAAACGTGCTGCTTTGTGACAAATGAAGCTCCTTTAGCTCTCTGAATAGTGACCGAGCATTTGTTTCTGGCTTGCACGAAGCGATCGCTGGATGCTGGATTGGGTGAGTGGCACCAACGACGGAATGCTGATTTTTCAAAACGTACAGCATGGTTGCAAGTATGGTTAAACCACTCAGGGGATCTTGGTTTGCCGGGTTTGGAGAAGTGTGGAATATCAAGATACATGTCTTTGAGAACAATCTCCGTGAAGTTTGAAGTAGATGTGGAAGCATCAGATATGAAACAACAATCCTTCCAGGGGTAACAAGCCAGAAAGTCAAAAAACCTGTCCCAGTTGGCTGAATCATTAGACCAAAAGGTGCTTCTGAAGTTAGGTGGTGAAATAGGGTGAAGGAAATGAGTGAAAAAGGAACTGAGACAATGGTCCGATGAGCCTAATAGGGGAAAGGGAAATGATATTCGAGAAAGAAGAGGGAATGGATGTGCGAATGAGGTCAAGGGTGTGAGCGCGGTCATTATTAAGATCACGGGTGCGTGTGGGGAGGTCAACTTGTTGACTTAGGTTGTTGACCACCGCAAAAGCCTCGGCTTCGCGTCCCATGAACGTCGTGTCTGAGGGGTGCTTTAGCCATTCCTTGTTGTGGACATTGAAATCTCCAACGATGGTAATCTGGCAGTTAGGATCTGCTGCCATTAGTGTCTGAATGTTGGAAGATAGAATATCAGAAATAGAAGAATCGCTGCTGCGCAGAGAGCGGTGAACAGTAACAAAAAGTAGTGCTTGAAAGAAGGGAATCGAAGTTTCAGCCACATAAGCTGAAATTCAGTTAGAGAAGTCTAAGCGCGAAAGTCGGGAAAAAGGGACAGAATGGTGAAAAAATGGAGGAAGTAATTAGGGAACTGAAGATGAGTAGTGTCTGACGAGGGGGAGATTTGTCTCCGTCAAAAA